AAATGAGCTTACTATGAAAGTCATGCAGCTTATCACTGGAAATCAGAATTATCTTTAGAATTTTCCTTGTAGGCCTGCCTCCAATCCCATCCGAAATTGGTCTTCTGCTGAGACAGGACAGTAAGAGTCATGTCTGGCCATGAAGAGCTCGATACAAAGTAAAAAAAATTCCGAAGAATTGGAAATGTCACAAGGTGGAGGTGGCTGGCCAAGGTGATTTACTAATTCAGCAACAAAGCCAGGACCAGACTTCTCTACCATTGTCTGTGCTCATAAACATATAAATTGGGGTCAGGTTTTAAACATAACAGAGCACTTAACTTCATGTTTTTGGGAGCTTACTTTAAGTGACCTCCGAAAAAAACACCCTCAAGATGTTAACTTACTTAGGTGCTTCTCCTCTGAAAACTAGCAAAGTTCCAGCTTTGTATTTACACCTTCTAGATCAGAGGAGAAAAAGCTTTGGCTCTGAAAAGGCTCCCACAACTGCCTTAAACAACCTCATTCATTATGTCTGCAGTGTGATTGTTCGAAGTACACAGCATCATTAAAGTAGCTTAGACTACAATTGAGGATGGCAACTTGTTATTATATTTTTAATGAGTGCATTCCTTCACTTATTTATTTTACCAGTAAAGCGTGGTTTATGGCACGTGGCAGATTGTTACAAATGGGTCAAATAAATGCTTTCCAGTCATAATGATGTTTCAGGAGCTCACTGTTGCACTTTTGAAACTGCTGATACAAAATATGAAAGTGAAAGCTCATCTCGGGATTTATGGTGGACAAATACAACACAGCCAAACATTTCCCACAGCAAGTAACTAAGCCTAGGGGCTGCTGAGGCAGGTATATTCTAGGACATGGTGTATGAGTGGACTGAATGTTATCGGGATTGAACCTTCCTATAGGTGATTTTGTTATTCTTTTCTTGCTCTTTTCTTATTCTCGTGGGTCACGTCCTCTGATAACTTTGAAATGCAAGCAGTGGGGTGGTGGAAGCTGGTTCCTTTTTCTGTCTGCACAAACAGTCCCTGATGCTGGCCAATATCACTGGGAGGGGTCTATTGAGACCAGAGGGGACTGGACCCTATGCAGGGTATCAAGTGGAGCTTGCTGTCTCACTAAACCAGACATATGCACACTGAGTATGCAAAGGTGAATAGAGGGACTTCAGCAGTGTCTGCAGTGAGCATATATAAAGCTGTTCCTGGCAGCAGCAGGCAGTCAGGAACAGTAGCACTGTGAGCCTCAGGACAGTGAACAAGGCAACATGTTTATCAGAGGATTATGAAGAACTAAGGGAAATCTTTTGTAGTTCTCAGTAACTACAGCTCAGACTAAATGTACTGAAGAAACCAGTGTCCTGGAAAACATTCTCCATCTGAGGAACCCCAGTGCTGCCCTACCCTGGGTTTGCCCCTGGCTCTAGTCAAACTGGACATCCCACTGGGTACTATGGGATATCTTTGTGCTTCCTTTCTGGGCATCTCTTGCTCTTTTCTAAGTGCTCTGCTCAGTGCCCTCTTCTAGTTCTGTCCTTTTGTGTCACTGATCCTGTGACAGCTGCTTCTGTCTTTTCCATTCACTGCCCTTTGATCTCTCACTTTTCTCCCTTCCTCTTCCCAAGGAGGTCTTATTTTTGCAGGGAGAATTTTGTCTAGACCCTCATAATGCAATCCAGAAATGAGTGCAGATGATCTCCACTGTTACAAGAGGGGCACTGGGCTCTTGATAACCAAAGAGTGTAGGCAGAAGAGAGCAATCCCTATTACTATGACTAATGGTGAAGTGGCAAATGCCCTTGCACTACTACAAAGTGACTCACCATACCATGGCACAACAGATTATGCTCATTGTCCCCAGTGTATGTTGTGACACACTGCTACATTCAATAGCTTTGCAAGCTGAAGACTAAGGGGCAGGCATTAGCACAGCAGGGCCAAATATCCAGAGGGACTCATACTACTAGGAGAAGAAATATTTTCTCCCTGTTGATTCTATCCATGCACAGAAGTGCAGTGAGAGGCATTAGGTACTGGTTGTACTTGGAGAGGGCGAGAGCATGGCTTGCAAAGAGCTGTCTGCAAGGAATTATTTTCTGGGGTTACTGCGTGGATCTGTAACTCAAGTGGAAGTCACAGAAAAAGAGAATTCCTGCAGGATATGGGGCTGTGATTAGGAGCCTGGTGAGTAGGGTTGTTTGACTTATTCTTGCCTTTGCCCCAAAGCCATAGGGGTTTCAGTAGTCTGACCCAAATGGTACTTTGTGTGTGTCCCTGCTCCAGACAAAGGCAATATTAAAAAAAGAGGATAGGGTAAGAGAGAAAAAAAAAAGAGTGAAACTACAGGGTAAATACAATTACATAATTTGCACCTGCTTTTATAGTGCAAAGATTGTGGAGTTCTTGAGTTGCTTAGATGTAACATCAGAAATATTATAGCTAGACACAAAGGTGAATGTGTAGACAAACTGCACAATTAATGAGATTTATTTGGGTCTGAATGACGTGGATGTCATCCCTCTACAGATTTTGATTGTCCTGCTTTGCTATTTTCAGGCAACAAAGCACATTGTGCTACAGGATATAATGGTCTGAACCCACATTTCAGGTTTTTTTTGTTGGGTATGAAAAAGTATCTAAGAGCAAAATTCAGGCATTAAACAATATATGGCAAGTCATAACCGTAGCTTACTATGGTAACATACATAATACTGCAGCACTCTTGGCCACTTTTAGAATGAGAGATATATCATAAAAGAAAATTGTTTGGAAGATGCTGACTTTGGATGGCACTGGCATGTTCTTTTCTTCTCTATAGTGTTAGTGCAATTGAATGCTCAGCTTTACTATTTTATTTCTATCCTTGCATTTAGAAATGCAGAACCACAGGGCAGTGCCAGTAACAGATACTACAGAGTAATGTACAAAAAATCCTATAATGAACAATGATGGAATAAGCTGCCCAGTGATGAAAATTTCTTTCTAACCCCAAGCAATTAGTGGCTGGATTTTATAATAAAGCATGAAGGTTTGTGTCCTTTCTACATTTTTATCCAGTCTAATGTGACCGTGGATGTTCTCATTATCCATATAAATGTCTAATCCTTTTTTTTTTTTTTTTTTTTTTTTTTAATGTTGCTAAGCTCCAGGCCTCAATAAAGCCTGTGGCAAGGAGTAAAGTATTGGTGAGTGCATAAATGCTCATTAGGAGGAGAAGAGAATAAGATGGAGCAAACACATGCCTTGTCCTACACCCAACCTGCTACAAAGGAACTCGCTGTAAGAGATTTATTGCTAGTGGGCACAGGCAGAAGTATAACGAGAAGTGAAGGCTTGGCTGACCACTTTATACCTCTGCTATCACTTAGGATGTCATTGAGTTGAGGGAAAGTTGAGCACCAGGAAAGACCAATATATTGCGGAAGACGTGCTGAGATAAATCCAAATGTTGTACAAAATAAAATATTTGCATGTCAGATCTTTTGGCAGAGGGGAGACCCTCTGTCTGAAGAGAAGAGAAGCAAAGATGACTTTCACCTTTCAGTCTGTTATGCTTCTGATGTTTGTGCATGGACTTACTATGAACTGCTGGCTGAGAAAGCCTCTCCAAAATCAGAGAGAATTGGATTAAGGCCATTGACTTTTATATAATATTGCATGAAATGCCTAACTTAAAGTTTTCTTTAATTACGGGCGTATTTAGAGATAGTAATAAAAGCTCAAGTCATTACAATTCATCTAAAAATATCATATTTTCTCTGATATTTGCAGTAATGGATAGTGGACAATTAGCCAAGAGGAGTTAGACAAAGCAGTGAAAAAAAATAACATAGAAATGAATGAATAAAAAGAGCAATGATAGGCTGGCAAATAGGTAAATACTTAAATGGGTAGAGGAACCAACTTTCCTGCTGTTATGGCTGAGCTCACTGAGCACACTAAAGCTTCATCCAATCTTCTGATGCCTCCTTAGCTGCCAAGACTGCTTATTCCTTTACACTGCCACAAACATATATACATGCCTAAATTTTAACACAGTAAGTTCCTTGATTTCAATTCTGCTTAAATTTCAACTCATGGGCTAAATGTTTATCAGATATGTGTGTATGGGGAAATTATAGCTATTTTTTCAATATTGTTGATATTTCTGGGTATTTCTTTGATGTATCCACAGGTTTTCTTTCAGTGACTTTGAGTAGCAACTCAAAGCAAGACTTTTGTACTTCTTTGTTATGATATTTTTTTCCTTGCAGCTCATAAAGTCCCCAGTGATGTCGACTCTTATAAGTTTTCAGGACTGGTTGAGGTGGAAAGAATTTTTTTGTTAGGGCGTTTGTGGGCTTTTTGGTTGGAGTAACTGTCTGATTTCTTGACAGATTGGATTAATCTGAGTGTCCCAGGGTAAAATATGCCTTTGCCAGATGGTAGCTAGGATCAATTAGTAAAATTTATTTAAATTATATTGTTGTGATTGGTATTATTAGTGTGTATACAGTCAATGGTAAGAAATGTCTTTCCAGCTCCAGCTTCAAGCAGAAGTCTTTATCAAATCCCGAGAAAGCTAGAAAAATATAAGTCCACATTAAGAACTTGTAAACCCCTAAGTTCTTGGTGATTACAGCCTCACATTGTCCATATATCTGTTAAGTACAGGCACAGAGGTAGATACATATTCTTTAACCTCCCTCATTCACTTCTGACGTCAAAATCACCCCATCAGGACTGGCATCTTTTGAGATGGTCGCAGTCTATGAACCCTATCAGCTGTCTCCAATGGTGTGACATGATAGGTTGAAGCTGAGCCTGTTATGTGTCAGCTGAACTGGCTTCAGTCACCAGCCCTGGTAAGGCTAGAGGGTTTGAATGCAGCAATTGTTTTGGAAACTAGCGCACGCTGCCTGGTACAGAGAATAATCCTTCTGAAGTAGCTGATGCTACAGACCTTTCCCTAACACTGATGAAGCAGGCTGTGGGCATGGCAATGGTCTGGCTTACCTGGGTAAGGGTGTATGCCATTTGCAAACACGGCTTCTGCGGCGGGCTGCCCGTTAGCCTGCGGCGGGAGGCCAGTGAAACCATTCACCCCAATGGGAGATGGGATGCTAGGCACAGCTGGTGCAGTTATGCCAGGAGGCGTGCTTCCACCTGCAAGGAGGGAAGAACACAAAATCAAAGCTGATGAGTACTGGAAGCAATAACCATGTAGAGAAAGCTCCTGATGCAACAACTATGATCACCACTCAGAAACCTTATGATATTTCAAGAAAAGAAAAATCTTCCAAGCTTTCTCATGAAGAAAGCAACCACTCACATGATTGCAGGCTAAACTTACCATTGCTTTTTTGTTTGGAAAGCATTTAACATAAGAAAGGTTTGGAAAGCTTTTTTCAACAGACAAAATTTGTTTGGTGATCCTGATCTCTAAGACTAGATCCACAGCTAACATCATGCAGTACAAGACAGCAGAAATACTGCCATTCCTCCTGAGCTCTCTCCCTAGAGTACTACATGTTTGATGACTTAATAAGCAGACATTTCTTTCCTAGATATCATTTAGCACCAAAAGCAAATTCACAGTCCCACTTTTCTACAGTTTCTCTTTGGAGATGTCAGCTTTGTGGGCGTAGTGATTTTCAGGGCCACTCTTTCTGCACTCTCTCATGAATACACACGTAGTGTGCAAACTAATTTTGAACTCCAGCATCAGGGATACTTAAAATATTTGGCAAGTTGATTTGTAGCCTACATACAGATAGCAATACATTTTTAGTGTTGCTGTTTTGGCCCCGCCTGAATTTGTAGTTTCAGCAGGGATCTCTGACAGAAAAGGGGCAAAAATTAAGCTACAGTTTTCCTCCATGGAACTGTGTTCCTCCATTTCTTTCCAGACTCATCCTGTGGGGGCTATAATGCTATTGTAGAGGAACAATTTAATCATTATGTTTTGGGTGGGATCCTGTCACCCACTGATGAAGAAATCTTAAAATTTTGTGGGGGGAATTAAATCCCTCTGCTACCTTACTGTTTTCTCCTATGTGTATTTGAAAGGACTGGACAGTCTGTGCTACTTGAAATGTATTCAGGATGCTTCCAGAGAATACAAATGAGTTTTCAATACGTATGAAATTGTATTTTTCTCTTGCTGTCTGGGGTGCGAAGTTAAACTCTCTTATCTTCAGTAATATCTTCCTGTGTCAGGATGTACTACTGATTGCAGGAATCCCTTTTTTAAACCAATTGCAGAAATTTTCTTCACAATCACAGCACTCTATGATGGGTTAGTCCAATAACACACTTTAATGACTGCTTAAATCTGTGCTGGTACTTTAAGAGAACTCATACAGATTAATAAGCTGCTTCTGTATGTTCTGATTTCAGCAGCCCAAGAAGCCTGCAATACTTTGTCTCTTTTCTTACACCCTGAGCAGACAAGCTGCTGCTTCCTCTTTCCTTATTTAAATGGTGTTGGCCTCAGTGGTGGTGCTGGGAGCCAGTGGTGGCAACCTGAGTCCAAAGGCAATGCTCTCAGCATATGCCATCAGCTTGCAAATCACAAAGGCTAGTTAAAATTTCAGTTGCTTTTCTGGATCTCTCTTTTATTTGCATAGGCAATGTAAGTAATGTTTTCTAAAACTGCAGCAGGGGATTTGAGCTTGCTATTTTGTGCAAGCATAAGGAAGTTTAGGAATATTCATTGCAATTCTTTAATTTTCTTCTTATAAAGAGCCCCCTGGAGAGGTCAGATCTGTAGCTGCAGTAAGACTGGCATAATGCCACTACAGAAAACAAATGTCAGTGGTGCATGCCAGTTTTGGATTTCATCCCCAGTTTGAGATATCTTGCTGAAGCTACACCAGGTGCAGATTTACAGCATGGAAGGAGGAAGAAGAAAAGAAGAAAGAAAGTCTAAAGGGAATTTCATTTCTAGTCCTCTCTTTGCAGTAAGCAGAGCATCAGAAACATCTCAGAAGACCCAACTTTTCCTCATATTATATCAAAGACAGGAGAAAAGGAATCACAGAATCACAGAATCACAGAATCGTAGGGTTTGGAAGGGACCTCCAGAGATCATTGAGTCAAACCCCCTGCCAAAGCAGGTTCCCTACAGCAGGTCACACAGGTCGGCATCCAGGCAGGTCTTGAACATCTCCAGAGGAGACTCCACCACCTCCCTGGGCAGCCTGTTCCAGCGCTCCGTCACCTCACCTAAAGAAGTTCTTGCGCACATTTGTGCGGAACTTCCTGTGCTGCATTTCTGGCCGTTCCCCCTTGTCCTGTCATCATTCACCACTAAAAAAAGAGTCCGGCCTTGCCATTCTGCCCCCCACACCTTGGGTGTTTATAGACTTGGGTATTTATAGACCTGGATCAGGACCCCTCTCATTCTTCTTTTCTCAAGGCTGAACAGACCCAGTTCACTCAGCCTTTCTTCATAGGAGAGATGCTCCAGGCCCTTCACCATCTTTGTGGCCCTCCACTGGACTCTTTCCAAGAGATCCCTGTCTTTTTTGTACTGGGGAACCCAGAACTGGACGCATTACTCCAGATGAGGCCTTACCGGGGCAGAGTAGAGGGGAAGGATCACCTCCCTCGACCTGCTGGCCACGCTCTTTTCAATACACCCCAGAATGCCATTGGCCTTTCTGGTCACAAGGGCACACTGCTGGCTCATGGCCAACCTGGTCCACCAGGACACACAGGTCCCTCTCTGCAGAGCTCCTCTCCAGCACATCATCCCCCAACCTGTACCTGTGCATGCAATTATTTCTCCCTAGATGGAAGACTCTACACTTGCTTTTGTTAAACCTCATCCGGATTTTTTCTGCCCAGCTCTCCAGCCTGTCCAGGTCTTGCTGAATGGCAGCACAGCCTTCAGGCATGTCAGCCAATCCTCCCAACTTCATATCATCAGCAAACTTGCTGAGGGTGGCCATTATCCCCTCATCAAGGTCACTGATGAAGATGTTGAACAAGAGCGGACCCAGCACCGACCCCTGAGGAGCACCGCTGGTTACAGGTCTGTAACCAGACTGCACCGCCAACAGCGACCCTCTGCGCTCTGCCAGTCAGCTAGTTCTCAACCCACCTCACCATCCACTCATCTATCCCACACTTCCTCAGCTTTGTTATAAGGATGTCATGGGAGACAGTACCAAATGCCTCGCTGAAATCAAGGTAGACCACATCCACTGCTCTCCTCCCATCTACCCAGCATGTGACAACATTGTAGAAGGCCACCAGGTTGGTCAAGCACGACCTCCCCTTGGTGAACCTATTCTGACTGCTCCTGATAACCTCCTTCTCTTCCAGTTGTCTGGAGATGGCATCCAGCACAAGCTGTTCCATCACATAAACTACAAATATACACCAAACTTTCAGAGACATGAAATTAATATCCTTGCAGTTGCAGAGTGTTTTGTGAGATGAAGATAATAGGGAACCATCAAAATACAGGCAGACAGCATAAAGTTACCATGCTGAATTGCCCACTGTGACTGCCTACTGCTCAGCATTGACTGCAGGCAAATAAGATGACTACACTAGATGCATAACTTTTGTACAGTTAAAGTCTGGTGAGTTGCATCCTGTCTCTTGCCTGTTTGATCTGCCTGGATCCAAGGCTCGTTAAGTTCCTGGGTCCCATGGGAACTCGTGAACATGAATGAACTCATGACCACGTTCTGAGGAACCCACTGTCCTGGAGGCTGGATTAGGAATGCATCAGAAACAGGTTATGGTCTCAGAACATGAGGGGCCTGAAGATAGAAACTCAGAGGCGCTGTGCTCAGCCAGCACCTCCGATGCCTTTAGGACTTCTGTGTTAGCAATGTCTTTTTTCTAGCACAATTTTTCTTTTGCTTAGAAAAGATCAAAACACTACTTTTTTTTTTTTTTCTCCCTCTTCTTTTTTTTTTTTTTTTTTTTTTTTTTTTCCACAACGTTCCAAACACTTTTTCTAATGCCTGTTTTTCAGAGAACTTTGAAATGTTTCATTTTCATTCCAAGTCAGAACAAAGATATACTTCAATGACTGGAAATCCTGCTATGAAGCAGAATGATCATTTTCCATTTGGCTTTCTGAATGCTAACAAAAGCCAGCAGGAGAATTCACTTTAGGCTTCAGATATCTCCTGGCTACTCAGAAATTGCTGCGAGTGTTGTAGACTTGCTTGCTCAGACATATGTGAAACATTTTCTATGCATCTTATCACAAGCTTTGTAAGTGTTGTGGTAATACAAGGAGTCATTTCAAAGTCTAAACATTTCACCCAAGGAATAATTGTCAATGGACATTTCCACAACCCATTACAGAGGTTTTTCGTGAAGGAAGCTACACATTCAAGGTAAATCTGCAATAATGCCAGAGTGCATAGGCTCCAGGATTGAAAATATGTCATGAGAGGAGTGCAAAATCTGCCACCATGAAAGAGATCAAGGGATCATCTAAACTGGAGCCTTATTTTCAATAACGACCAGTCATAGGTTCTCTGAAAAGCATGTAAAAAACATGAGCTCTCTTTCTTCTTCTGTATTCTGACAATAGTTCCCAAAAGGTAGTGGGCACATCAGAAAAGAGCTTACACGAAAGAAGAGCTGGGATATTTTTCATTTGCTGGATGTTGTGGCAGGCACAGAATTTGGCCATCATGATAGTATTTACACACCTATGTCACAGAATGGCTTATTTTCAAGACATTTATATGCAAAAGTGACTGTGCTTGTTTGTGGTGGAGACATCACAAACCACTGCCTGGATTCGGCTTTCCAAGCCCTGAGAGCATTTGAATTCCAAGCATTCTTTGTTTGACGTTCTCTATGCTCCCACCAACACAAAACAAATCTAGCTAATGCAAATATGATAATCTTTCCAGCAGTGGGTTTAAAGGGTGCACATATAATTAAGCCACTTTTCTATTTGGATTTGCAGTAGCTTCATCGACTCATTGTTTATACATTTATCGCTATGTAAACATATATTTCAAAATGTATGGTGTAAGATTTTTGAGTCAAGCACTTTTCCTTGGCTCTCCATAAACTGCTGTGGAAATAGATCTCTCTTCCTCCCCTTTCTCCCCCTGCACCTTATATTCCAATAGCAGCAAAAGAGAAAATAAATATCTGACCCTGTAGCTGCTGACATTGATCCAGCTAGAGATTGTAAAGAGATGATAAACTGTATGTTAATGGAGAAATGGAGTTTTTTTTGGCAGACAGAGGTTAGCAGAACCAGATTCATTAGGAACAGCCCTTAAGCCTGCACTACTGTGGCACCTTGTCTCCTTGCCATCCAGTGCCCTTCCTGGCTGCAGTGTCAGTTGGTCTTTTGCTAACAGTGTGGATTTCTCTGTGCTTAGCAGTGAGGCTGCTCTCTTACCAATCTGCTCTGCAAGGGGAACCAGATCCTTCTTTCCCAGCACCAGCTGCGCCGTGGCTGGCTTGTGATCACCCCTGCCACATCTCAATCACTCAAAACTGTTGTCACGCTGGTCCTCTTTAGGTTAGCTCAGTGCTTCAGGTTCATGTGTTGGCATTGCAATGCCTCTTCACCGAACTCAGTCCCATCTCCAGCACCTCTCATAGGAACAACTGGCACTGTCTCTGAAACACTTCTATCCTAAACTGTTCCCTAGAAATTATTCTTCTTCACTGTTAAACCCCTGTATCTTCTGCTCCCCTAACAGAGTCAGCAGTATATTGCAAACCCCTCCACATTCTCACTTCTTTTAAAGTTTGGCCCCATTTTTCCCAGCTACCCTGCTGTCCTTCAGTTAGGCCAGCAATCACTAAATAATTTACCTGTCCTGCCACTTCCTTGACCTGCTCCTGTCCAAATAATTTCCTTGTTCTTCAGGAAAGCCAGTTCTGTTTACACCTCAGCTTAATTCTCTGGCCCCCAGCGCTGTCTTCTCATGTCCTGCTACAGCCCAGCCAGCTGTGGGCCTGGGTCCTTCACCAACTACCTGTCTCTACTCGAGCTACAAAAAAATCTTCTCACCAAATACTTGCATTCCAGGTAGCATCAGATTTCCCTGAGTACCAGCAGCCCTATTTCACAGTAGGAAAAGGCTTATGCATCCCCAAAATGCAGCTCATCTTATTAATTGCATTGCATCTCCCTACAAGTATTATTCTGTTTGTGTCTGGACCAGCCTGGCTACGACAGCATGAGCACTTATCCCTTATACATCTACACATACTACCAGTAAGCAACTACTGGTCACTGTGGGATATTTTCATAGAGTTTATCAGGTTGGAAAAGACCTTAAAGATCACTGAGACCAACGACAACCTAACCATGCTACCCTAACTCTAACAACCCTCCACTAAATCATGTCCCTGAGCACCACATCACAACGGTTTTTAAACACATCCTGGGATGGTGACTCAACTACCTCCCTGGGGAGCCTATTCCAGTGCTTTTGCGTCATTATTCCACTGTGCTAAGGGAAAGCTGTGTAGAGGATGATGCTGAAGGTCATGGTTGAGAGCTTCTTCCAGTGCCTTACAATTCCCTCCTTCCAGCAAAATCCATCATATCCCCTCTCTGGTGTGTCTCATTCGCAGCATTCAGCTGTTGCTCAGCATGGAGCACTAGTAGCCCAACAGCCCACTGTTGGTGATCTGTTTGGCTCTGCTTCTGTACCTTTTTTGTGACCCAGATACTGACTCCCAGCTGCTCCTGCCCCTAGCAGAGGACTCCTGTTCCAGCCCCTCAAAATGATCTGGTCTGACCTCTCCTCCTTCCCTGTGGTAGCCTCTACCAGCGAGACCAGCATTTCAGAAAACACTTACAGAGGAACAAGCTGACAGTTAACATGTCCTTCGAGGTCTCCTGCCCCTCCTGCCACCCCTTCCATCCATCCAGGCCCCTTACCTGAGGTTGGAGTCATGGGGGCAGCTGCCAGGCCATTCATGTTCAGAGCCGCCATCTGCTGCATCTGGGCTGCAGCAAAGGCTGCCATGGGGTTCAGGTAGCCGCCCTGCGCCACCGAAGCCATGATCGCGGCTTGCTGCTGCATCAGCTGGAACAAAGAGAGCAGGGAAAAAATATCACGCAGTCACTAGCAGAGCAGCCTGGGTCACCAGCACCAGGAAGGAAACCATGTGCAAGAGCGTGAGGCATCTCTCCACTTTGAGATGCTAGTTTGGTGCATCTGTGGTAGCCCCCACCCTTGGCACTTCTTTCCCACTACAAGAGCGAGAAGCAAATTGCGTCAAATGTGTCTCAGAGCATTGATGTGTCTTTATGGTTCCCACATTTCTAGCATTGTTCCCCAGTGTGGAGGTCTCCTGTGAACTGTACTCAATGTCTGAGTTCTTTCCTTGCTGGGAACAGCAGAGAGAATACTTTAAGTGTTCCCAAGCAGAGAGATTTCATGGCCTATGTTGCTTGTATCAAAGCTCTGGGAAGGCACTGATGGCTGCTGATGGGAGACCGCTGTATGTAGAGCAGTTAGAAATGAGGATCCCCAGTATCTCCAGAGCAGCAAACTTAACTAGTTCTCTGGGGATAAATTGATCTATTTTTATCTGTTGGTGAGAAAAACTGCTTTTTTTTTTTTTTTCTTCATGCTGCTGTGAGGTCTCCAGTGGGCACTAAGCTAAACCATGACCAAAAACCAGAGTCCATGTTAACCCAATTACAGCACCTATTTCCAACACAACCAAGCAGAGATACTCCCTGAAGAGCTATGCAAGAGAAGGGAGTTCCCCTGCTTTAGCAAGATTAATAAAGTGCAGTGGGAAAATCCCTGCATGGTAGTTTTAATCTGGGATGATTTCCTTAGTTTTAAGTTCCTTTTTTTTTAATTCCCAGAAAGTAATTAAAACATTGCCTCTTCTAAGGCTCTTAAAAAAGGCAGAAATGAGAAATACAAGTTATATTTTCAGGCATTTTGCAGTAAGAGTTTTGGAGCAGAAAGGTGGTGAATGGCTAAGTATGCTAGAAATGCTTCCTGCATTAAAACCAGACTTTTCCATCATTATTTTACAATCGGAGCCTAGCTTTTAGATGGTGCAGTTCATGCATACAGTATGACTGCAGTGGTTTAGCTCCTGAGATGAAGAGAAGAAAATTAGATGAATCTTCCTCTTGTCTCCTTCCCTGGAGCTGCAGAACGAGCCAGGCAATGCACATCTGAGGTTCTGTGAGACAGCATCCACTCCCCAGTAAAGACTGATGGTGGAGGCTTAGAGAAAGTGTGAGGAAAGAGGATGAGCAGAGTCTGAAACCTCATTTTGTTCATTCCCCAGCCACTGTTAACACGTGATTTGATGATAATAATGGAGAAGGAAACTATTTTTTTTTCAAAATGATTATAGAAGTGACTCATGTCTTTGCTGTCTACAGAATGAGTTTTACTCTCTCTGTGATTTCACTCTCTATCAAGAAATCACTCTCTGATGTTGTTGTTTAAGCACACAGGATACACTGTTCAGCATTAAATAGATCTTAAAGTCATGAAGTCTGATAAAGCTCCGACAAAGTCACAACAAAATCTGTTCCTTACTGTTTAACATTGAAATATTAGCTGAATTAGCTGCTCATACATATACACACTGGAAGAAATCCCTTAAATCATTGCTGTCATTCGACTGCTGAAAAATTCCTTGTCACCGCCTGCGAAGAGTCAAAATTAAAGGATGCTCTGCCACTGACCTGCTGTATAACTGTGGACAAATTGTGTATAGTTGCCTTGATTTCTCCAGCTATTATATACTGGCGCACAGGATATCTATCTCCTCACGTAGGGGTGCCTTCAGATCTACAGATGAAAATTGCTGTACTAGAGCTGAGTACTATTATTTTTCATAGCCTCATGCAGATTGGTGCCAAGGTGGTGGCTTCCCCTTTGATTGTTAATTACCCTTTTTTATTGTACACTGCATAAGACACTTTCACATTTTAATTAGTGATATCCTGTTCTTTGTAATTACTGATGGAGTGATTAGACAATCTTTTCTATTATAGCACAAAGCTGATTCCTCTTTAAGGAATACATTTGTTTCTAGGCATCATTGGAGTTTATTCTCCAGATGGGGTACCAAGCAGGTGATTTTATTAAGTATGCCAATAAAGTGAATGAGGAAAGGGGAGTCCATCCATCTTTAACATTGGACTGACTCCAGCACTGGGTGTACTGACCCATATTTCATTTTCTGTGCTGGTATTTTACCTGGGGACAGCTGAGGATGCCACTATCTGGTTGCAGAAATGATGGCCAAGATCTGTGCCTGTAGCATCTATTTAGCACTGCTGACCAAAGCAGCATCTCTCTGAGATGGATGCAGTTGCAAGTGCTTGATTCAGCCGCAGTCTGGCCTTTGCTAACTTTTTTCTGTGCTCCTCCAAATCTGCACACAAAAAACATGGAGTTACCTACATGTGTGTGCCATGGTCAGTCTGGCTGACAGATAACAGCCTGGTATTTGAACCAGAGACTTTCCTTAGGGCTTCTAGGCAGACAAGGAGACTATAATTTTGGCATTTCCCTCTGTCAGATTCAGTAACCTAAATACAGATGGCATTTCCTCTGAGCTGGTCACCTATTGCTGTTGATGTGATAACAGGCAAAGAGTTTAGGCCAAGATTTGTCTCTCCCTTCTGTACCCAGTTGCCTCTGGGCAGATGAATTTCAGCTTTGTTTCTCCCCACTAACTGCATGCAGAGCCTTAAGTGATCTGTTCTGCTGCACATAGTGACACAGCCAGGTGAAATCACTCCTACCCTTTGCTTGACCCTCAGCAAATATTTTTGGATGGCACTTTCCAACCATTTAAAATAAAAGTATTAATCTCTTTTTGTTTGTGTTTCACCTATGCTGCAAGAGACCCAAGGTTGTACCTATGTGACATTTTGTTACCAATGGTAGTACAAACGATTGTGCTGCTTCAAAGACAATCTCCATTTTGCACTCAGCAGAGCTAAACAATCACTTGTGACATTATTTATGGCTTGTGCAACTTCTATTCCTGCTTATGGATGTCAATAAGATGTTCATCATTAACTCTACAATGGCAGGTGCTCCTCCTGGTTTGCCAATGGTGTTTGACTTCTAGTCTATTCAGAGGGCTTAAAGTTTGCACAGGAAGATGCATTTTGGGAGACTATACATTGATACCTGCATGCTATTTAGTGCAGTATAATGCCATGCATGCATGGCATTCTGTTATAGATCTTCAGAAAGAAGGTATTTTCTCTCTTTGTGTGGGATATTCCTAACCTTCTTATTACTGCTTCTTACTACTGTGCAAGGACTACAGCTTAAAGCCTGGTGTGTTTCAGAAAAGCATTCAGATAAAACTGGTCATAATCCCATAGAAGCTCAGGAGTTGGAGGAGCAAATAGGTTAATTTTAGCTTTGAGTTAAAAAGCTAATGCAGAAAAAAATAAGGTAGTAATTAAGGCTCTTAACTGTGTTTTGGGAAACTAGGTTCAGTTGCTTCTGGGATAGCAGGCATCCTGCAGGGAGAAGCCACCCATTTCTTCAATGCTCAGTGCTCTGGGGATACCTGAGCTGTCCTGGAGACCTGGAAAACCCCTTAGCATAGAGAACAATTGAGCTGGGGACCTGTACCTCATGACCCAGAGGACACACACATCACGACAGCTTTCATAGCCACCCCATGGGGTACATCTGGATATCCTCCAAGGCTGGAAGGAGTATAGCATCCCAAACCTGAATACAGGCACTAACCCTGACTAAGTGGCTTGAGAGAGGACACCAATATTAACTGTATTTACAGACATCACAGCCCTTTGTGACGCTCCTGCCACCTTTCTGCTTTCATGTTTCCCATTTGTGCACTGAAGAAGTGTTCCTTCCCTATTAGATTAAGGTACTCATAGATAAAAGCACCAAAGGGGAAGTACAACGGGACCTTTCCAGATCATCTTCTGGTGGTTATAGTGCCAAGTGCAGCAGTACTGTGGAGGCTGGAGGATGGAAACTCTCTCACCTTGAAAGAAGCTGATGACAAAGACCTCAAGTCCTGTGAGGGTCATTGGTCTTTCTCATAAAACCACCAAGGCAATCCCAAGTGAGCTCAAACAAAAGTCACCCCTCTCCATCCCCAGCTCCCCCCAAAGACAAATGTCCCATCCACTCTCTTTTCACTTTGAAAGAGGCCCAGTGTATGATCCCAGTTAATAAAGCTGTAGAAAGTGAGGCAGTGACCCCACCAGAGGCAAATCAATAGCAGCAGGGCCCCTGGGTATTGTGTACTTTAAAATATGCCATTTGAAATGCAGATTTTCCCTGCCTGAGCTGGGGCCACAGAGCACTAATCAGAAAGGCAGCAGCCTTATTATCTTAGGCTGTTCCAAGGGGATGGAAGGGAGCTATTTCTTTCCTCAGCTGAAAGGATGTATTTCCTTTTCTTCTCTTACTTCCTTGGCATGATCTTTGCCTCAGCATTTAGAGCTTTTTCCCATCTGATTTTATGGATTCATTCCACAAAATTCCTCCAACCTGGCTGTTATTTATTGCTCAAATATTTATCTTCTGAGGAGAGCAGGAAAGTACCAAACTGGTTGATGTATAGAAACAGCAGCCTGCACTGCCTGTCCCAGGGCCTGAGAATCAATGAGGCAGCTGGAGAGGCACTGGTAAGGCCACAGAGGCATGAAGAGGAGTAACACATGATGGTGGGTCTCTAGGAAATGATGGGAAGGTTCATGCCGTAAGTTTTTTGCTACCTCAAACAGAGGTGGCTGAACTGCAGTCAGCTTTATAATCAATGGATGAGTAGATACCTCCACAGTGTTTTCCATTCTATCCTACACTAAGAGATTAAGACAAAAAATAGAGAAGGATGCAGCTCTGCAGCACAACTGCACCAAAACAAGAGGCTACCAGTGCTAACAAGTGCAACAGTCTCCCAATCTCTTGCTGCAATCTGTGCCCCAGGACAGATGCATGTCTGACACTGTTGAGCATAATGCTCAGGGACACGAGCAGAGCATTAAACACATAACACAGAAACAAAGTGCGTTCTGCCAGTTTCTTTCCACAAGTACATC